GGGGCAGTAGGGGGAAGAAGGGGGGATGTGGGGGTTTTAATGTTGGGTGCATGGGGGGAGGTGTGGGGGTGGGTGTTGGCAGTCGGGGGTCGGTGGTCTGGGATGGGGATCTGGGGATGGTCGGGAGCTGAGGCGAGGTTAGGAGTGGGGGTATTTGGGTGTCAGAAGTCGGTGGTTCGGGGAGTTTGGGGCCACTGTGGGGGCACAGTGGTGGGAGGTGGGGTGGAAGTGGCGGTGCAGAGGTGTGCTAGTGAGGTGCTGTGGGGGTGCGGTGATGATAGGTTGGGAAGTGGGGGAGGTGTACAGGAAGGTGAGGGGTGGGAAGTTGGGGGCAGGAGGTTGGGTGGTGGGAAGCGGCGCCGGGTTCTAGGGAATGGGGATTTCCGTGGGTTGGGGAGTCTGGTTGGGAGGTGGGGGCAGGCGGGTTGGGAGGTGGTGGACACGGGCAGTGGAGAGGGGTTGCAGGGAGGTGGGCTGGGTTGGTTGGTTGGGTGCCCAGCCCGACGACTCTGTAGCCAGAGGACCATCCCGGAGCCTCAGGGCTGCTGGCACGGCAGAGCCGGCTTCCGTGACCACCGGCGTCCTGGTGCGCGTTCCCCACCCCCCGCCACTCCTCACCGAGGGGGGTCCTCCTCAGCCCTGGCAGAGCAGCCCTGCAGCCCCAGGACAGAGGCGAGCTGGGAAGCTGCAGGGCCCCTGGCCATGGGGAGGGTCCGGGAGGAAGCACCCCTTCCCTTGGGGTGGGTGTCTTCACAGGCAGCCATACTTGAGGCACTCTGTGTGTGGACTTCATGTTTCCTGAAGAGGCTGAGTGGGTGCAGGGCATTTGCGCAGGTCCTCGGGTCTTAGGCTCACCGCACATCATGGCCCTGTGGAGTGCCGCGATTTTCCCTCAGTCACCCTCCACCGCTGCAAGAAAGACATTTCCGTTATCTTCCCAGTATTTGTGTCCACGTATGCATATAAACAACATACATGTAGATAAATATGCACGTGTGTTTGTGGTTCAGACGATGTTGTGCATACTGCCCGGTTTTTGTAAAGATGAACGTTTTAGAGCACTGTTAGGTGTGCTGATACATAAAGAGGGACTTACAGAGGTTTGCTGTTTATCCCTGTCCCCACCCACTGCTACCCTCTGGAATTATCGACGCAGCCACAGAGGGGCACATTTGTTATCACCCGTGAACTTACACTGACCGTCATGATCACCCAAAGGGCTCCTGCCTGGCCTTGTCGATTGCATGGCTTTGACCCAATGGATATGGACGCCTTCCATCATGACCGTATCACAGTGAGGACTGTCACTGCCTGAAAATTCCCCTGTGCTCTGCCTGTTCCCTCTCCCCCCATGGTCCCGGACAAGCACATGGGTCCTCTTCCCGTCTCCGAACTCTCGCCTCTACAGACTGTCACACGGTTGGGATCACGCAGTATGGAGCCTTCTCAGGTGGGCTCTTTCCCTTAGGCGCACGCATTCAAGGTTCCTCCATGCCTCTTCCTGGCTTGGTGGCTCATTCCCGTAGGGCGATGAACCGTTTCCCACGGTCTGCACGCCCCACAGTTCATGCATTCACCTACTGCAGGACATGTTGCTTGCATCTATATTTTCGCAGGTCTTGAGGCCTCTCTATGGGTCAGCTGCCACACCCAGGATATTCTCTGTATCCAAGTCCCTGACCCTGGCTGTCACCCAAGTCGGCTCTAGAACAACATGCACCAGGTTTACACAGCTCTGACCCATGTGAGGAGGCGGTCTGGGCAAGGCATCGTCAGCGTGAAAAACCCTGCATCAGCCAGGCACGGGGGACCAGAAGACACACACTGGTGCAGAGTCCTCACCATACCCAGGAAGGTGCGCCTGAGGCCCATGGGAACGGTAGCTATGCCTACAGATGTTGTGTGCATGGGGGGATATGTGGGGGTGGGTGTCGGCAGTGGGGGTGCAAAGGAGCAGGATGGGGATTTGGGTATAGTGGGGAGCAGTGAGGCGGTAGTTCGGGGAGGTCGGGGCCTTTTGTCTGTATGCCTTTTATCTCTTATTCTTGCCTTATTATACTGCCTAGGAATTCTAGTATAATTCAAATAACGGTGGTGAGAGAGGTTTCCTTCCCTTGTTTCCTTCCCTTGTTTCCTTCCCTTGCCCCTGATCTTCAGGGGAAAGCTTTCAGTCTTTTATCATTAAGTATAATATCACATTTCAGCTTTTT